ATGAGTTCAAAGACAGCTGCGAGGCTCAGTTCAAGTTATCACAGGATTGCCCTTTTTAATGATTTACCAAATGAAAATCCTTCACCTAGTTCCACTGGTCTTTAAGTGCCGCCCGACAGTACTGCACTTGATTGGTCTGAGAGGCATGTAGGCCTACACCGAATATCGTAAATCATAAACGTACCCCGTGGGTGGGCCAAAATGTCTACAATGTGGTTTTAGAGAAATGGTGATGACATCGCGCACAGAGGATGCAATCATTTAGAAACAAAATGGATGCAATGGTTAAAAAGTCCACTCATCTGTCTGCATGTTCACCTTTAAAATGATAATCAGCAAGGGTTCATTATGGTCGTCCGCTGGTTTGCACACCAAAGTTACATCCCAATTCATCCTTTTATTTAACATGTAAATACAGGGACAATTTATTTATTTAGACAGACGTAGGCTTTGATCATTTTCATGAATAAGCTCTACTTTTTTTTTTACGAAGCAGATGCGACTAGCTGTAAAACTAACTCAAAATGAAGGTTTAAAATTTAATAATATGAACAACAAACAGTGAAAAGGTTGAAGGTTTCAAAAGTGCAGCTTAGCATGCAGCCATGAACTAACCAGTTCCACTTTGATAATTTTACAAAATGTACTAATAGCATTGTTATTTAAGTTCACTGTTGTGAAATTGTACAATTGTAGGACTCCATCTGGTCCTGTCACGAATGGATAAATTCTAATAGTTCCAGGAACGTTCGTTACATACCAAAAAGGCCAGTGTGGTTAGTATCAACAGACTCGCAGCAAACTGTGCGCCCACAGCGACAACGTGTCAGACACGTGTGACGTTTCCAAAAATTGCATAGAATTGATCACCTCGGATCGGTCATATTACAGATGCATCCACATACATGTATTATGATTAGCCCGGGCTTTGTTGTGTTTGTGGTTTTGGTTGATAGACTTTCTTGCAATTATTTCCCTTTCGTGCATGATATCACTGAAGCAAAACCAGCCATTTTCGCTTGAAACTCACGAATATTCTTTAGTGCCGCGGATTCGCTTTTGTTGACATGTGTACGGCACTGGTTTGAACAAAAGTACTATACGTCTATACAAGAGGCTTGGGTGTTATAAAAGTAAAATATTTATATTGTGGAACCTGAAAGCAAAGAATTTCAGTGCAGGATCCTGTAAAAGCTTGAAACTGTGGTACACTGTACTCCATAAATACTTTTGAAATATTGAGGATGAATGCAGGCAGTACAAATACAGCTTTACATAAAATGCACAAGATTGTTACTCCAGCAATACCCAGCCGTAACTTAAACCACTAAACTAGACTTCCCTCTCAGACAATGTCACTGTCAATCTCCTACATCACAGCAAATGGGCTCACAGCGAGAAACCTTTCATTGCAACAACTCGCACGTTTCTTTGTATCAAATATCCGTATCTACTCAGAACTGACGTTGCGGTTGGCATGTTCTTTATAGACTAATTTTCCTGGCCCACACAAAATTACAGAGAATTGTCAAACTCTGAACTGAACTGACCGCGGGTGGAGTAAGGTCCGTGTCAGCATGAGATCATTTTGATATCTTGTGTTATTATATTCATGTGAAATTGACGCTGCAAAATCCCCCAGGCCCTAATTCCCACATAAGAGCTAAGGCCTAAGTCCCAACAAACTTGGAATACATCACCGACTTGGTAAAGTCTGGACGCGGCATTAAAACCAAGCCGCAGATCACAGCAAAGTGACTGGCGGTTCATATCTCGCCCTGGTATTTCCGCCGGTGGCCTAAAAATACTCCACGGTCAAGCCCAGGGGCAAAAACACAGGAGTCCAGATGGATATCGTGCATCGCATGAAAATGTCTGAAGGGAAACCTCGATCTCAGAAACCTAACGTTGGTCGTCTGAAGTCTGCATTTTCATTCCAAAGGTTCTCTCTGCAACGAATAACACATGCCATCTTTCAGCAATAAATGTGTCTGCGTGCGGTGGGTGCAGACTCGACTCGACTGTACATCGAGCAGCATTCGATGCGCATCATTTATTTAACTCTCCGTAATATCGCCATTTCACTCAGCCGTCCAACACGTGTGGTATATGCTTTTACTGAAACATCTCTTTCATCGTTCAGGTCACAGACATAATCTGCTCTGGAATAAATTACAGCATCTCAAGTTTTGTGGCTCAGGGGTACCCTGATATGACAAAATTCAATGGAACTCCATCTTTAGAAAGAGAACATTAAATTTGTAACACATTCATGAATATCTATTGTATCTCTCTATGCAGCTGCCTCCCAGAGCTGATTTTCTGTTGGTTCGTCAAGTAAGTAAAAAGACAACATGCTTGTTTGCCACTCAGTCAACGACATCTTTCTGACTCATAATATTAATAGCATAATTAAAATTCAGCAATACTGTACTGGTAACCACACTGGCGCCACTCTCGCAGTTTATACTCAGTGTGTTATCCAACCGCAAGGGAAGCCTGTAAACCATCAAATCCCAATCTTTGCCAAGAAAATCGCATCCGACTAGACCTGCCCGATGTCAAAGCTCAATTTCGTGTTAACACAAATAAACATCCAGATTTATAATGTCATCTTCGGAGTGTAACACGCTTTTAACCCAGCCAAATGAGCAATCCGAAGTCATCCCGGGGGATTTCGTTAACCAGTGCCCGGATTTGTTGTCTTTCCACCCTTCCCTGACCTCAATCGGAGAGGTCTTCAACTTGCCTTAAACCAGGGAAGCCCAGGGCACTTAAGGGGGCATATTGACTGATTGCCAGGACGTTAACCACGCTTACAGGGGCTCCACTGTGTCACAATATTTAGGAAGTTTATGAATGGGCCATATTCAGACATGAAACAACTGTTGAAACCGTACACCGCAGAGCACGGTTAAGCGGTGTCATTCGGGCACTGCCTGAGCCCAGGAGTGACCCTGGGAATCAGCAAATGACCAGGCGAAACAATCAGGCCAGTGTTTGTCCTCTTCAACTTCGGAAATTGTTGAAGGAGAAATTTGTCAACTCAAGAAGCAATTTGCAACAGTAGAACTAGAAGTGGCACACGTAGCAAATGTAGCATGACAGAGGAAAGCTACTAAAATCAACCGGGAAGAGAGTCAAATTCGAAGGGATACATTTAAAATGATATTTCATCTTTCTGTGAACTTGAGCCTCCCTTTGCGAATTGCTTTTACTCTGCGGAAATTAATCTTTGCTCGCAGTAACATTAAAGTTCACAATCCTTTCCCGTTATAAAGAGTTCTACATCTGGCTCTTGGTGCCGTTTTTAAAGCATGGTCATGTTGGCCCCCATCAAGTAGACCTTGTTTTTCGAATTCCTGCGTTCTCCGTTAAAACTTAAATTTAGCACCCGCCAAAAACGTAGAAGAGGGGAAGCTGTAACCTCGCCCAATATAGTCAGCCTTACACCTGACCTTAACAACGTTTGTCTTCGATCAGCAAACACGGCTTTGTTAGCAGAAACAGCTCGAACATAAATCGAGTCTATATTTGAGCTGGTCAGGAAACCCCACTTAAGAGAAAACCCCTCTCCTCTCAAGGAGAGACAGTCGATCTGAGGCGTATGCCGACCATCACCAGACAGTTGCATAGCCCTAGAGTGGCTAGGGCGCCAAGCGCAGACATGCATAACATCATATAAAGGATGCCCCTAGACTCACCTAAAAAAAATTAGTCCCAACCTCTGAACATTTGCGCCAAGTCAGTGTAAACACGACTTGATGACATACAGTTCGTAGGATAAAGCACAGTTACTTTTGCCAGAATTTACGAGTTCAATTATAGAGACAGGGCTCACTCGGTTGGTAGCCTTTGAATTTTTTTTTGTCATGTGACGAATCAAAATCTTAAAACTTATATTACATGTTAAAATCCAAGACCTCTTGTTGCAACTTCATTCAGCTATAGAGCAAATGTAATTAGAGTTTGTGCACAAAACCGTTCATTCTCTTCAGCGGGATCTGTGTCCTTAAGTGAAGCACACAACTATAGCTTCACAAAATTTATTACCTAATACTAGTGATAGCATAATAGAACTTGTATAGGTGGTCTTTTTTTTCTCTGTGCAAATTTTGCGTGTAAACCATTCCTTTGATTGGATTTACATCTCAACGACAACGACAAGGTTTTCGTCGTTACTCATTCTAGAAGACAGCATCAATTAAAGAACCTCTCCGTGCACGCCTACATCCTCGAAAATATCACGGCGATATGGAGGATGTGTCATGGTATCTTGTGGAGCAGATTAATGAGACACATATGGTTTGTTCACACCTGGGTCACCAACCGAATCAGATAAAAGAAACTAAAGTTCTTGTTTGGAACGCATATAGTTGATGATGTAGTTAGCTACCTTGTGATGTCCATATGCCGTCTACATCATGTATTTAGTTAATTAGTTGGTAACTGACTTGTGGTCATCAACCAGCGCCAGCGTACTCCAGCACATCAAAACATGCTTACTGCTATCAATATTTGCTAATAAAACCTTCTTATCTGTTTATCATGTCATGCATGCTTAAAAGCTCAAAACAACTCCGGTGATGACACAGGAAAAATATCGTTTCGTTTTTACACGTACTTCCTCAAAGGCAGTGCGCACATAGTAAGAGCCACGTTATTTGATATGATACAGCCAGTATTTCTTCTTTTAATTCCGTTTTCATGGTTTTGATTCATATGATTTTCATCCGAGATTTGATCAGTGAGGACCATAATGATAGACAAAGGTTTAGCAACTTGAGCTCAGAATCTTTAAACTCAATTGAATATTAAATGTAAATGCATGCGTGACAAATCCTTCGGAATCAGGTGTCCTCGAGAATAGAGATAGCAAAAACGCCCGCTCCCCCAACCCAAATTGAAAATTTACAAGTCACAATACGTCATAGTGTGGTGTCACAATTTATTTTCTCTAACACGGCCTACAATTCCCAAGTCGCAGTCTAGTTACTCACATAGCCTGTTCTCAGCTGTCCCGGGGTGACGAGCTCTTCCGGGCCTGCGGCATCGTCTTCCCCCGGTAGGTGCGTACTTGTCGGTGCAGCCTGCGTGTATGGTCCCAGAAGTATGAAAAGTCCGAGTGACACCCGTAGTAAGCATGTCCACACTGCATCTACGACGGCCAGAGTCCGTTTGTTTTGAGTATTCCACTGACTTTGGGGAGCCGGATTAAATACATTCGCATCCATGGTGTCGAAGCGAGTGCAAATGCGAACGATCGTCCTCCCAAAACCTTTCACGCAGGTACACGTAGGTAACGTGGTTGCTCGGCCCGAGCCGTCCACAGTTTAACAGCGTTTCTCCCCCGTTCCGGCCCCTCGCTCTCCGCTCCAGTTTGCTGCTTATGTTTAGTGCCGGACTTCCGTCGCTCTCCTTTTTATGATAGGGAGCATTATCTGGAGATTGATGTGCCACAAACCGCAGGCTCAATGCAGATCACTGTTTTCATGTTTTATGAGGCATCGTTAAGGACTGCAGCAGGTTGTGGGTGTCGCGTAGTCATAACCGAAGAATGGGGTTCATTGTTTGGACCGGGTCCAGGTAGTCGTGACTGATGGAGGTACTGTGCAGTGGATTTTCGGCTCGATCCCACTGCGTTCGACGTGTAGACAACCTCACTGTACCTGTACATACAATACGTACACTGTACGGTAGGCTGGTTTACACTCGCTACTGTACCCAAATCCGATCCAACAACTCTCTTCAGCGGCCCAGCATCGCCGTATTTAACCACCAGACCACAGACGTCCTTACCCTGATTAGTCATCCCCTATTTATAAATTATGGAACGGCTGTAAAATGAACCCACATACGTGATGCACGGAACAGTTAGGAGCAGTCCATTGCATGAGAGGTAAACCTCTCATCGGGATTTAGCTGTTGAGGGCATAGTCATTTAGTGTCAAAATGGCTTTCCATTTCTCCCACCGGACTTGTCAAGTGTTTCTTATCACTCGGTCGCAATTATTGACCGTGTATAAACTTTGCGGCGCCCTCGGATCATTTGGGGAGCAAGGTTAGCAAAACATGCTGCAATGGCATGTTCTTTTTCTACACTGATTCATCTGACACAGGCAGCGATTGTTTTAAATTGTTTGTCAGTCCTTGTGCCTAAATCTTGAATTTCCAGCAGAGCAGAATCATTACCCGATTTGCTGAGCGACTAATGACTGGAGGTGTAACAACTCCCTAATGTAAAACATAAGCCGAACAATGGGGAGAAAGAGCAGTTGCTTCTGCATCGTGTATAAAGAGGATGACACACAACCGTCCCCACCCATGCGTCACACCTCCAAGATCTTCACACCTCCGTCTGTGAAGTATTTGCACCTGTTCAATCTGCAGCCAGAAAGATTTCTAATTAGCTGTTCATTATTAGTAATTTAGCCAAGCTGGAGTAAATCAAATCAAGCTTTACGTGTTGACAAACTAGAGCCATGAAGGAAGAGACAGGCAGTCTTTTGAAGCGGACTGCATGCCCGGCTTGAGTATCGTTCATTCATAAGAACGCCTTGATGTCTCTTTGAGTTTCCAACAAAAAGAATTCCTCTACCTTCCTATCGAAAGAGCTACATGTATTAACTTGTGTATTCACTAGTTAGCACATACAAGCAGGGGTGGGGTTGGGGTATGTAACTTCCCCACCCCTCTCCACTTTTTGCCGTAGAATGAACCATTATTTTGATCACCACCCATTTGCATGTTGCTACAAATACCGTCAAAAATTACCAAATAACACTGAAGACATAGAAAGATACACCCGCAAAATGCTGCGTTTCTTTCAATAATTTACAAAAGCACCCAAGTTCAGAAAGATGTAAACAACACTCCCCATCGTACTATCATCAGTGTCCAGTTCTCTCCCTCCCAATCCCGCTTTTCGAATTTTTATGGCCGGGTTGTCAACTCCAAATATGACACGCAGATTTACCCCACTGCTCGCAGCTCACTGTTTTTCGGCCCGTCTATCATATCAGGAGCCAGAGACGGAGACATTTGGCCGTCGACCTCGGCACGTTGAAACTTCCAGGGATCATGCTCGCCTTGTGGGGGATTGTACACTTGGGGCCCCCTGTTTTTGCCATTTTAATCTTGCAAAACTGGTAAGTCCCCCCCCCAAAAAAAGGACGCTGACCCCATTTTTTTTTAAAAATTTCAAATTGTAAATTGTGAGAAAATATGACTTTCTTACTGATAAACTAACCATGCAAATTTGGATCCACCATGTGTAGTGTTAAAACACTCACAGTACCCCTCATAAGTTCCCTCAAAACTCAAAACCGTACCCTTTTTTGACAACATTAACCCTACAGTTATTGAGCATGGTATCAGTCATCTCCCAAGGTGAATTAAAAAGTTAAAATGTAGCTCCCCCTTCTATTATAGGAACAGGGTCCCCGAATTTACAATCCCAGCCTTGTACTTCCAACTCGCATTGAGAAGTTGCAAGACATCGCTGTTGACAGACCGGAAGATTAACGGCCAATTTGGATCGGGTACTAGAAGGCAATACGAGGCAAATTTACAAGTTGCGTTTCATGAAATCATAGAGCTGGGACCCTCTTTGGGGTTCCCTTTCTCGAGGGTCACACTGCGTCCAGAAATTGGGATCAGTTGGATTTTGTTTCTTTGAATTAGACACACTTTTATGAATTGATGACTAAGAGTTTCAATGGAGCTCTTATCCAGCACTTTCGTTTGAAGAAATTTCCGGAAAAAAATGTTTAATTAAGAAACCTATTTCATATATGGTTTTGGGTTTGGGAGACTTTTTCTTTCTTTGTTCTTTAATCATAAATTTTGGTATAATTTTATTTGGTAGTTTTTATGCAAACCGTTAAACAGAGTCTTCGATATTCTCAATGGAAAAAAAATCGAACAAAATGAATAATTATAAAACGTTCTGAAACACCTCTGGTCCCTGCACAATCCAAGCCCTAGAAGCCACACCCTGTTTGTGCAGTAGTTTGCAAATGGAATAAACTGTAAGTGAATTACCCACAATATGGAATTCTTTAAATCTCTGAAAATATAAATCAACCACCGGTCCACAGGCAACACCTGTGTAAATGCCCTTGGATTTGAAAGTACATGTATCTGAACCACACGATAAACAGAATAATTGACTTGAGCAAGTCTAATCCTCCAAATTGCAAACTTCAAGCATGCGCATTTACGCAACCAATATGGCAGCTTCCGTATGAAACTTGTTGGTTTCTTTTCGCAAAAATATTTCTTTCTTTTTGTCCTATAAACCATTATTCTGAAGTATTATTCGCGAAGGATAACAATGGCAAGTGGGAGATCAAGTAGCGTGCATTCTTGGCAAGGAGTGTCGATCGATACTGGTCCGTTTGAGACGGTTCACCGATGGCGACGTATGCCCGACTGTGATGAGTTCGTGGGCGCACGGTAAGCATATCCCGTATGATGGATGTGGCATGTGCCGCGTAGAGTGTGTGTGTAGCTACAATTTAGTACATCATTGGCCAGGTACACATAACACACAGTGCACAGGTTTCGGTCCAGTAAGCAGTTGTTAGTCCCAATCGTGCCAACTAAACATAGTGTTGCCATGTTGCAGTGGCTTAGTTGTTCTGGTGGAAAGAGTAGCGAGTTCGATGACATGTTGAGTTTCTGAAGGGACCCCAGCAAACTTGGTAAGTTGGTATCATTTGAAAGTGTAAGAACTGAGAAATCCGATGATACTTACATCAGCTCATTACCTTTAAAATTAACCGAGATATTCCCATTTAATTTTGGAACAAGATACAAAGTTTCATTCTGTCAGTTTTGATAGTATACAACTGATTCACGGCAATCACTCAAACTAGCAATAATGAATGGATAGTTTTGGGTTGTATCCACACGACTTTGGTATCATTGGGAAGCTTGTTGGAAAAAGACATCTAATGGTGTTTAAAGTAATTCATTACCTTTAAATTTGACCAAGATAATGCAACTTTGAATGGAACTGTGTAAATTTCTCCTCGCACAATTGATTTGAAATAATTCTACAAAATTGGTCCATAAAATGCCTCTGTATTTCACTGCAGTGATGGGCTGACATGGTGTTATCTAGAAGAGCTTGTCTGCTTGTCACCTATTTGAAACTGTAATGCAAAGGACTTCAGAATAGTTCATCTCCTTTACAAGTTTTTGGAAACTCAAGTACTTGTGTTTGTTTTTTGGGTTCAGGTATTTTGTCATGGATCATGTAAGACAAAAGGAATAAGTCACATACACGGGGGCTCTGGGCGATTTTGCTGTGAATTACAAAAAAAAAAGCCCCAGAAAATCATCATAGGCAGCAATGTACCAGGTAAAAGCTTATTTCAATGTTGCAGACTTAGGCAGTGGGATGTGAAAAGCAGCCCCTGAAAATAAAATTTTCATTTTTCCCCTGGTAAGTGATAAATGAAACAGACTTTTGTTTGTTTGATTAAATACTCTGTTGTACAATGGCAAAGTGTACATGTAGGTACAGTATATAAAAGTTATAGATAAACATTTGTCTGGGCTGGCTGGGTCAAAGTTTTCAATTAAAAACTATATCCTTCTGTGGAAAAGAATGTTGAATGGTACAAAAACATTTACCATCATTGTCAAATTACCAAAATAATGAAAATAAAACAATTACAGCAAAATTGACAAGTCATCATCACATCATCATCAAACTGATTTTGTATATGGTTTGTTCATCAACAATCTGTTGGTTGGTATGAAGGAATGTTCGGATGTTTGAGCGAAATAAATGTCGAATATTCAAATAGTGAATTATTCGAATTGACTCAGCCCTAGCCCTAATGTGCGGATCAAATCGCAGCTTATCGCAAGTTCCACAGCAACACACACTGTCAGAATCAGCACACTCCAAACTTCCCGAAAATACTACTTTTACATACCCTCTCCCCCCTTCATAGTGCTTTTTTTAAATGATTTTTGTCAGTTTTCCCATGAAAACCGGTAGCATTAAATGGTTTGATTTTAGTGAAATTACCTATGAAGTTTTGACAACTGTGGTATCAGTCGGAAGTTCGGAGCCTCTTTGATGAGAATATTTCATAAAAACAGAGGGTGTTTACTGGGGAGGAAGAGAGCTTAAAGTTAAGGGGTTTTTGAGGATTGGTGTCCTCCAGTGAAGCGGCTACCATCTGACTGCCAACTTCTCTGACTCATTTTTCTTTCCAATTTATTTTTTGGGTGTTAGACAGCATTTTAGTCCAAACTTATGACACATTTTGAAAGAGAAAGTTCTTGGCTACAAGAGGATCACGAATTTAAAAATATTGGAGATAACTATTTTGACCGTGAGTTTTTGTCATCAAGGTTTTACACACGAGCAGATATGACTGCATGCTCTGATAATTCTGTTGAACTTGCTAGAAAGAGTTCCATAGGCCTACACGGACAACACTAATTACCCTTAAAATGATATAACCACCATAAACATGTCATCACATAGGAAATGAAATTTAGCCAAGAATATTCCAAAGCAATTACTTAGAAAACACTTCTTTTTTTTCAGACAAGCCTTATAGGTTTGTGCACAGGGGCATTGAGTGTTGTCCGTATATATGGAAGTCTTTCCGGGCTGGTCCAACGAGGAGTAGAGTCTTTAGTTAACAAATTTCTACAGAGAATTTTTTCTTCAGGTTGTTTTGGCTCATACCTGACTAGCGAGACAGTCACGGTGTCTGGCTTTATTCATGACTAGTAGGCCCCCTATGGTCATGATAATTACATGTTGGTGTCATGGTGAACTTAAGTTTTATTGATAGGCTAAGTAGTCTTGTTGTATATTACACCATGACCTATGTGGTCTCCACTCTCCTCCAGTCTTGACAGTGAACATTCACAGTCGCCGTTATTTTCAATGTCTATGGAAAAAATTCCACGTTTGGACACCTCTTGCCATCCTGTGCACAAACTTTATGAGACTCTTCTGAAAAAAATATTGAGTGTTTGGGAGTGATTACCTCAAAATTTTAACTGCCGCATTTGACTTTTTAGGACATTTTATTGCTTTAAATAGAGGCTAATAGGTCATGATCTGTAGGGAAAATGACTGGCATCTTACCTGTACTCTTCTTTCCATGTTTATAGTTAAAAGGAGGAGACTTTTTAATGGTAGACACTGTTGGGCCAACACCTGACAGAATTCAACCAAAATATGCCATTCTGGCCTTTCCCCCATGACACAAACTAAAAACTAGATTCTCCTATTTGGTTTTTTTGCAAAACGAGAGTGGGGCATGCTATGGCACATGCTGGCACGGTATATATGTATGATTGTCAGGTTGGCCCAGCTACAGCACCTGTTGTTAGGATAGATACTTTACAGTTAGGAGGTAATTCGTTGTCAGTGGGATCCCCATCGTGCTGGGACCCAAACTCTTGCACTTGAAAACTAAAACAGCTTAACAGGCCAACTTCACTCACTTTTGAGCTGGCAAATACAAACATCAGTAGTTTTTTTGTGAGGTAAATTCAAAACAAGGTCCTCACGTCAGTGTCAATTTTCTTGTGTGGTATGTCTTCATTTCCAAGCATTGTATGTCATAGACAGTAATAAAAGGGAGTACTTTCATATGCGGATGTCACTAATTTTTCCCTACAGTGATTTATCAACCATCTAAAAGTGACAATATGTCCTAAAAAGTCAAATTTTGCAGGGCAAATTTCAAAGCATTTACTTACAAAAATACTTGAAAATGTTCAGACCAGTCTCATCTCGTTTGTGCACAGAGTGTCAGAATATTTGTGTGTGGAACTGATATCTGTCTGAAAGCTTCGCACCGCGGGATTCTGTGCCTCTTATCTGACTCTTTTCAACTTGTTTTTTTGCATCTAAGACTCGATGGTGCCAAACATTCACTCAAACTCACAGGGATGTTGTTGATATTTGCCCTTACTCAGGAAAGGAAAGCAGAAAAAATTGAAAAAATCAGCGAAACAAAAACAAGGGCCCACTTTAAAGAGTATAGACACTATAACACTTCAATAAGTAAGAGCTTCGAAACATTTTTCTTGATATTGAAGAATTAGATGCAGGTTTCTATTGGATTTCTTTCTCGAACTTGTTGGGATTTATTAAGAGTTGTGCAATGTGTTTGTTAAGCAACAATCTTTTGTTGTTGATTTTCTTCAGAAAAACTGCTCAAACAAAATTCACAGTAATCTAAATCTGCAAAGTTACACAAATTCAATAACCATGCACAGGTTTAATGAGTTTTTCTTTAAAACAGAGAAAAACTGTAAAATAAAAACAGAATCGGCGAATCTTCCCCAGAATATCCTGGAAAAGTTATTTTTGGTTTCCATTTATTCACTGTCCACATTTTTTTAAAGGAAGAAAAAATCAGACTAGATTCATGGAGTTTAAGTGGTAATTTGAGCTGCCCCTTTTTGGAAGAGCAAGACCTATCATTTATACATAATGCAATGAGGTGAGTTCCTGTAAGCGGCGGGTAACAAAACTCATAAGTAGGCAATGTAGCTAACTGTATTTAAATTGATTACAGATTCATGTGTAATAGCATATTTATAATGTAAATTGATACAAGCACAGGGTTGAAATTAATTCCTCATAATGTGCCTTGGATCATCACACAATGGAAACGTATTGTTTTCATTGTCAGTTTGATTTTTTTTCTTTTTCTTCACAGACGAAGTAAGCACACTGCAGTGGCGTACAAAGATGCAATCTATGTGTTTGGTGGAGACAATGGGTGAGAAACAGATTTGAGCTCTTAACAAAATTGACAGAGACAAAAAAAGTTTGGATGGAATTGATTGTAATTGAACCTATAGTTTCCATGGTATGTTTACCACTCGTTTATGGATTTCATGAGAATATTTTTCTTTTATGCCTTTCAAAATTGATGCTACAGACGGAAGAATATGCTTAATGATGTCCTTCGCTACGATGTCAAAGAATGTTCATGGGGAAGGTAAAAGAATATTTCAACTTTGTTTTTCTGTTAATTGTGGGATCACAATTTATGTGCATGTGCAGAGTACATACCAAATGCTCATTTTAAGCAGCCTGTAGCAGACAGATGATTCTTGGCCAAGATCCAAAGCGGTTTCTGACTTCCCTGAAGAAAGGCCCGTGGAGGTCAGGGTTAATCGTTGACCAGAAAACCTGTAACAGACTGCCGCATCTCACAGCGAAAAGCTCAACAATGCCTCTCTGGAGTAACCACTTCAGCAGCTGTTATTTTTTTACTTTTTAAGATGTGCTTGTAACCTCCCTAACAACTCTCCTGTAAGCATTCTTTTAAAAGGAGCATTTTGGTGCTTGTATGTTAACCCCTGTTTATTTACCTCAAATGAGGGCTAGGCAGGTAATAAACAAAGCCATGTGAAAAGCTCAGGATGTATTGGAGTAAATTATGACATCCTTTTACTAACACAGGTATTGATTGGGAAGGCTCTTATGGTAAAGCACTTTGGGAATCGGATTAACGGTTCCTGGGATAACTTCAAATGTGCATTATCCACATTATTCAGGAAATCCCTTGAAAGCTGTGTCAATTTTGGTAAAAGTGCATGGACCCAGAGAAAAAGTTGGAAGGTTGTTTACATTGAGGCGACCTTGGAGCTACTGGTAACCTGACTTAAAATTGTTTGTACTTTCCACAAAATAGCTGCAAAAATTCAATTTATTTGAGGCCAACTCTGTTTATTCCTCATGGAAAATTGCACCAGCCTTCAGTAAGGTTTTATTCCACATTATAGGTGTCAGTCTGTTACCGTGGCAACAGACAGCTTTAACTAATCCTTGCAGGGTCCAATTTTCAAAAGAAATCTCTGAGGTAGAACACTTCCAACAAAGAAACAGCACTTAAGTTCCTAACTTACTACAATCATGTGGTAGAACGGGATACATTTAAAAATCCCTTCCAATATGTCAATTTGTTTTCCCATGAAGGAAGTCTTTCTTTCCTCCATGGTTACTCACAAAGTTACCCTTTACTGTTTCTCTTGTTATAACTTACATTACAAGTAGGATTTGCATGACCTCATCTTACCTTTGCTACATTCTCCCGAACAATTCAGGGTCCAGTCCACTAATTCAAGCCCCATTCAAAACTGTGTAAAATCAGCACTGTTCAGGGCCTAATAACATGCATACCAACAT